GAAACATATATATATATATATATATATAACTCAAACATTAATTTTTATATGGAGAAAATAATTTACATTAAAAGCCTTATAAAATATCTAGGAAATTATGTATAAACTTTACAAAACACTAAAAATTCTATAAAATATTTAAAAATTTATGTAAAATCTTTGTTAATCATGTAGAAAATTATTAATTAATTAACATTATAGAATTAAAAATTTTGAAATAAATTTATATTTACTGATAATTAATAAACTATTTTAATTAAAGTAATAAACGTAAAAAGAGAAAATTATGGAAATATTTGTGTGTTAAACCTCAAAATATTTATAATGAATATTTTCATGGTAAAAATGTTACAATTAATACTATATATAATCATTTTTAATTCAATTTTACATATTTACTATGATATATAGCAATTACATTAAAAGAAACTATATATAAAATACAAGAAATTAGTAATATCTCATGATAAATATTGTAAAATTTATGCAATAAAGATAAAATATTGATAAAAGTTTGTTGTGAAATATAAATGATAAAGAATTTTCAGAAAAAATTTCGTAAAAATTTTATAATTATAAGGTGAAATTTAATAAAAACTTGTATAATGAAGAAGCTACAAGTAACATAAGAAATTCTCCTTAACTAAAATCTAAAAATTGCACAGTAATGATGAAATTTCTATGAAATACAAGTAATATAATTCCAATAAAGAACTTTCATAATTAAAACTTCAAGTTTATAACTTAAAAATACTGTATAATGAACATGCTATAGATTTCATAAGAAAATTTTCATGGCAAATGTGATAGAAATTACATAACAATAGAGAAAATTTTAACAAAAGCATGTAAAATCTAAAAGATATATAAACAATTTTCATGATAAATTTCATATAAAATTCATTATTACAACTTTAAATGTACTGTACTATATAAGAACGTATGGATGCCATAAGAAATTCATNTGTATTAAAAGTGATTGGTATTTTAGGAAGTAAGTAACAAATTTAATTATGAAGAAAAAACTTTTTTCCCCTCTCCTTCTCGTATCCAAAACTAAGTTTCAATGGTTGGAAACCATTTGTCATATCCTCAGTAATCCTATCTGTATTTTATTTCTTTCTTTCTTGGTAATTTCATTTTTACTCCGAAGAAGGAAAAAAAGGGTTACTTTTATTCTGTATAACTTTACCTTTACGTTATTAGCTTCATTTCTAATCGAATTTTGCTTTTTTCCTTACATCCGTTTCGATAAAATTATCCCCAAAAACGGATAAGATGAAGTAACCAAATTATAGAATATTTCGTAAATGATGCAACAGGACTACATAAGACTGTACTTTAGTTTAGAAGTTTATTATTGTTTAAAATTATTTTATCCGTAAATAAAAATAAATATTAGTAATTAATAAATACAATTCATCCAAATTTGAAATAAACAATTCAGAAAATATTTTGAGAAAAAAATTTAATTTTCTTGTTTCTCTTAATAACCACAAGGAGGATCCGAAGAAGAGCAGTGCTCCCTTGCGGTATTTTTCTTTTTTCCCCCAAAATCCTCTGATAACGTATAAAATATTGCGAATTGATTGAGAAGTTGTTTGATGTGATCTAGATCTTTTTTTTTCGGAAAACGAAATATAGAGAAAAGTTTTGTCGATCTCTAAGTACCAGGAAAAAAATAATAATAATTACTTATTTTAAGAACATAATTAGTTTTCCGAAGTACTATAGACTTAAGCAGATGGAAAGAACAGCTGTACTTATTTCTCTTTTAATTAAAATACATACCATATTTGTTAAAAATTTAAAAATTAATTAATTGTTATCAGAAATGCTAAACTATAAGTACGATGTGTTTTAGAGTACTATTGCGAATAGATATAGTCAATTATTTTGTAAACATATTTATTATTTTTATTTTTATGAATTAAATAACTTTTTAAAAACTAATTAATTTTATACACGTATATACATTTTACACGTGTATTTTATGAGTTGCGTATATTTAAATTTATGAAATTGTACGAAAAAAACACGGAAAAATGTTTTAAAAACGAACACAAACAATCGAAATTCTTTCGCTGATCACGTGTCTAGCAATCTGGTTCCTTATTTTCAAGCGAACGCAGATTCAAACGGGAGGCGGGTGTGGCGCCAACACAGGACACACACAGACTCACACACACACCTGATCAGACACGAGAAGGTGTATTGTTTCGATCCCATTGTCTTATTCATTATGACGTCGTCTATCTTTACACTAACAAAATTAAAAGTAGACACTTACCATTTGCTTGCGTCACACGTAAGTAAAGCGAAGAGACGTAATTCCAGCAGACGTTTCGCAGACTATATGTCAGTCTACACACACAAGACACACACACAGACACACACACACACACACATGCACGCGCGTACCGTGATCGAAATCGAGGCTAGTTCCGGGCATCTCCCTACCCCGGATCTTTCCACTTTCCTATAAAGGTGTGTGGTAGTGTTTAGGGATGTGTACAATCTTAACGTGACGGATATAGCTGTCACTTCTCTCTCTCTGCAATCGACTGCTGCCACTCTGTGTGACAAAATACTAGAAATGAGTCTAATTACTTACTCAAAATCTAGGATATATATATATATTTTTTTAAATTTTATTTTGGAATTTTTTATTTGTTTATTAATAAATTATAGTGTAAACATTTTCTATGTAATGAAGCAGTTTGTTTTTCTGGTCGTTATTGTGTTTACACTGGAGTGTGGGCTCGTTGGGTGTTCCAGAACTGTTTTTGAGCTGATTCAACGCTCGTATGATGCTCCAAATATGTTTCCTAGTTGATTTGATCCTGGTAGAAGATCCTTAAATCTGTTTTTAAACTAGTTGGATTATTGTAAGATTCTTCAAGTCTATTGATTCAATCCCCATAAGATGTTCTAAATCTGTTTCTGTTCTTTCGAATCATTATGTAATGCTTTTTAAACTGTTGATTCAATCAGTCTAAAATACTCTAGCTCTGTTTTTGAGTTAATCCTACCCTTATTTAATGTTCTAAATGTGTTTTTTGAGTTGATTCGATCCTCGGTAAGAAATCCCAAATCTGTTTCCGAACTCGTGGGATTACTTCTTCGAATGCTTCAAATATCTCTTTTAAGTTAACTTAATCCGTGTAAAATGCTTTAATTCTACTTCTGGACTGCTTTGAATCTGTATAAAATTATCTAAATCTGTTTCTGAATCTCTGAAACGTTATAGAAATGCTCCAGATCCGTTGATTCAAGCGTGTAAGATGTTCCAAATTTGTTTCTGGGCTAAGCCACTCCTTGTAATATATTCCAAATCTGTTTATGATCTATATGAGTCATTGTAAGATGCTCCAAATTTGTTTAATTCGTGTATAATTTTTTTAAATATTCATAAAGCCGTTTAAGCTTTGATGATACACAATTTCCTTCCGTTTAAATATGTTCCCTACCTTCCGAACACGTTAAATCTGTACAGAAGATTCTGTATCTATTTTTGAGTTAATTAATAAATACAGGATGCCCCACATCTGTTTCTGAGATAATTAAACATGGTCTCAGGATCCCCCAAAAATATCTTTCGCGAGTGATGCTTCATGCTATCAATTATTATATACAAAGTCATATTTTACGTTTAATTAATTTATTAATTCTAACAGGAAAAAACTTTTATTTTTGATAAATATAGCCTAAATGTGTTGATGCAATGGGTGGTACCCATTTTGTTTAAACGTGTATTAACATTGTATTAAAAATGGGACATGAAAGCAAGATTGAAAAATATCTTTGACCCATATTGAAAAAAAAAAGTTATAAATTTAAAGAACATTCGGTTAAACAGGCTATACAGTACATTAAAACGAACGTCTCGCGTGTCGGTTCGTAGAAACAAAACGTAGATAACACTTCGGAAACGTTCAATTTAAAAAAAAAAAAATCAGCTATATGAGATTTATATATATTTATATAATACTTAATAAGTAAGAAAAACGTTTAATTTAAATATAGGGCATTTCACCCGTAAAACATCACAGTTTAAAAGCGAGAAACTTTACAGTAATCACACATATTTATCAGGTTTATATATAACACTTCATAAATTTTAATTCAAGTGTAGGGCCTCTCACTCATGGGGCATCTCTTCTAAAAAAAAATGGGAACATTTATTTATGTTATACTGTGATAAGCTGTAACCCAAAATAAATAAAAGTTTGTTTAAATTAGTAATAATTATACAAATTGATCAGCTTACATGCGAGGCATCTTACCCGCAGCACAAAATGACAACGTTTATTTACAGTAATTAAGCGAATTTGTCAGAGTTATAATGTGTATAACACTAGCACTTCATAAAACGTAGGGTATCGTACCCAAAAGGCATCTCACCTTCAAAAAAGGAGTATATATATAGTAATTATACGAAGATTATTTAATCTGTTTACAGCTGAATTAAGTATAAATTTTAATTATATAATACTGTTAAGCGTGAAATGGTCGAGTGGTCAAGTTGTTTAGAGAATAGCTAATTATCTATTGAACACGATAAGCATGATATATATACGAACACGCACGAACCCACAATAATTATTAATGTCACGTGTTTTAAATGATAGCAAACAGGTATCTTGTTTAAGTAAAAGATTTATTTATACAATACCTTTAATATTTTGTCGTGTCATAGATTTAAATGACCTTCTTGTATGCTTAAATATGTGATAAAAATGTAAACGAACTTAACATGAAATTCTGATGTAGGTACGAAAAGAAGAGAGGGAGCCTTTCTAACATAGTTTTAACATTATTTAGTACAGGAAACGAATATAAATACATACTAACAATAAAGAATATATCTATAATAGTCCTTTTTAGATTTATAAAAGGAACTTGTAAAGGTTCTTTCTCTTGGGTGTTCAATAAAGTTATCTCTTAATACAGAAAATGGGCTTTAAAGCTCTTAATGTACATTAAAGATGTCTTCTCTATCTCTTGAGCAGTTTAAAATGCACTTTACTCAACTAAAAGAATGGATTAAATTATGTTTAAAAAAAATAGGAATTTTTCTATATTTTAATGTTCTATATCTATAAACGCGAAATGATACCCCTATGGGATAGATGCCCCATACGTGAGTTAGCAATAAAAATTTACTTTATCTTATGAAACATTATTATTATTATTATTATAGAAAAGTTATTTTATGGTGACATTTTTATGCTCTTAACTCTTTCTAAAAGCACTTAAATTCAGTATGTTTTTTTAGATGTTATCATAGAAGTCTTTGTAAGGCATCATTCCTCGGATTTACACAACATATACAAAACTTATCTCAAAATCTAAACATGTGTACAGAAGTTATTATTTTAAACACGAATTATACATAAAAAAAAATAAAGACTATTCAAAAAAAAAAAAAAATCTAAAACTAAATATACAGTGTCTCAAAATTCAGTTAACCAAGCCTTGTTCGGTGTGTTTTTACTCACAATTTCACCTCGAATACGTAAAACAAAACACCTTTAACTAACTTTTGAGCCAATCTGAAACGTAATTTAAAACGTTAGTACAGTATTTCAATTAGACAGCAATTTACTCGCTACCATAGTTAACTGACATTTGGGCCACCCTGTATAAGCGTTTTTACATCCCAGAAATCCTGGTATAAATGTTAGAAAGAAATAGGAAAATATCGATTTAAAGAATGAAAAATTGGTCATTTAAGCCTTTAAATCCTATCCCGAGAACTAACCGCTAAGATTTTTTTCTTTAAATAAAAGAAAAATCTATATTATAGAAACTATATGTGTGTGAGTTTCTGTGTTTGTGTGTCTATGTGTAGGGGGAAAAAAACAAGTTTGAAAGAAGTTTCGATCATCGATCTTAAGTCAACCACGCACGAAATAAAGAAATCAAGAAATATAAAACAAAAAAAAAAC